AATTGAAACCTTTAATAGTTACATCTATACTAATATATAAAGAGTTTGTTTGTTTGAACGCACTAATCTCAGGAAGTACTAGTTCAAATTGAAAAATTATTTTTGTATTAGTTATAGCACTTTTCAGAGAAGGTTATAATCTAAAACAACTGTAACAAATGTAGGGGAGAGTAGAAATGTGGAAAAAACGGGGAAAATATTCACCTTTGTGGGTTTCCGATGCGTATGCTGCGAAAACGGTTCAAGATACCCAAAAAATATGTATCAAACGATGATTGTGGAAGGTTTGCATTGACAAAATGGCCTAAAATAACTATTCTACGCGGATGAAGTCGCTGATATAAATAAACTAACTAATATATCGTTTTTTGAACCGTTTCAAATAGTTACACTTCACGTACGAGTATGTCCTCATGTTTTAAAAGCATATGACCCTTAAGACTTAAATTTGCTTATTTAATACTCTACTTAAGATAAGCTGGAAATAAATAAGATTAGCGTTGAATGTATAGATATTAGTGTTTGTCAATAGGCAACAACTACTGAGTACTGACGTACACTATTTGAAACATTATGTGCTGGTTTAGCGAAAGCCAACCTTATTGCATTGTTTTAGGAACTACACTCCGACCAAACTATGTTTGTAACAGGTATGTGCGATAACGCAAAGTATAAATCGTTTAACCAAAGGATATTCAGTCTTATTACTATGTGATATGGTTGCATTTAAATGTACAAATATTATCGTGATGCTAATACCTAGGTGTTTTCTTTTATGGTAAAATGACCCGTATGTCAATAGTGTTAAGACACAGATGATGTAAGACCTATATTAAGAACTGGCGACGAGTCGTCTGTTGTTGTCGAGGATAATATCGCGTTGGCTTTTATAAGTTCCGGATTTTATTACAGAACGCGTATTCACATAGTTTTCTGGAAATAGTGTTATGTTTAATGAAAACACGATATTAGATACTATTTCTATGATAGAGGACAGATAAGTATGGTTTTCACTTCACCACCAAAAAAATTAGATGTGTTGTCGATCTATTTTAGCTTTAGATATACGGAAACGGAAAAGCGGATTAACTTGACTTTTTCATCTGTGGACAATATCCAGATATTTCAGAAGAGTCGCGGTGGGAATCGAACTCACGACGTTGATAGCGTTTTAACGAGCACAGCGAATTAAACACATCTATACATTCTTATTTAACATGTACACAAGCGATCGTGCGCTTTAACATGTGAAGAATAATAATGTAATAAAGGTGACGCTTGATTCATAATTTTCACATGTTGACACGATAGCTCTATACAATAAAATATGATTTAATTTATGTACACCGTAGTTCAATTAGCAGCAGTTTTGGGTTCGACTCCCACTCGTTATCGATTTCTTTAGCTTTACATAAGTTTAAAAAATAATTGTATCTTAACTTAAATTTATACTTTTCACCCTCAAGCAATAGTATATATTTTTGTTTAATATTTGTTCTAGTATAATAATACTATTGTTTCTTGTCTTGTAAACCAGCCACAGCCTGGTCGTCTTTATTAAAATTGAGTTTCATTCAAAGTGCGGACACAAAAGTGTTTCTGCCCCATTCCCCACATGAAAAACAATAAAGAAAGCAAAAGAAATCGCGATATCGCTATCTAGAAAGATCGGCCCCGCTAATGCATGTTCCAAACAAAAGAATTCACACAGTTTTATATCATTTTCATCAGTAAAAACCAGTGAATACTGCTTTGATGAAATCTCAGAAAGAAAACGTATAATTAATTAAGTTTATCATGTCATTTATTGTTTAAACAGCACGCGTCATTTAATATAAAAAAAAAAACAGAGATACAACGACACATACGAAATATTTGCAATATGCATGCATGCTTCTGCAATGCTCCTAAAACATGAGGACGTAGTTATGAAATTTAATTAAACTACATAGGGTTTTAAATCGTTAAAAATAATTATATCAAACGGTTAGTACTGGCATAAATTACCAACTTCCGATATTCACGGTCTCGTTGAAAAAATTATGGAGATGAAACAAAACACTTTAGACGGTTTAAAACAAGAAATGCATGCTTCTGCAATGCACCTGAATCATCAAGTCGTAGTTAAGAAAATATTAAACTATATAGGGTTTTGAACCGTTAAAAGTGTTTTATTTAATGCCTACCCCTCGCTTAAACTACAGACAACATTTGATGTAGTGTTTTTCTTGTCTCTGTGTCACAACGGTTATAGCATTGCGGTTTGAATCCCATGGACTGAACTTGCCTGTGAATAAAACAGATTAGTGAAACAGACTTATCACTTACTGTTCGACTTATCGCATATATATATAAAGTTTCATAAGAATTAGTCCAGCCGTTTCGAAAGATGGATACCAGCATTTAATCATTTTTATTATAGTATCGTTAAGTTTATTTTTAGATTTTATTAATTGTAATGAATTTTAGTTAAATCACGACGACGGGGGTGACTTGAATCGGCACTCTCAGCGTTTCTTTGCTGTTGATCTAACCGATTGAGCCACCGTGTCCTACACGACATCGTCGAATATAATAAAATACAATAAATTAAGGAAATAAAACCGTTTAAACTTGAATCCAATATAACTTAAATTGTATGAACAATATCAACATCTTGATCAATGCGATAAAGTTGTTTTTTAACCTTCATTGTAGAAAATATAATCTGTTAGCAACAACTTGTAATTTACAGCTTACTCATATACTGCGCACACGCATACACACACATTAGTCTGTTTGTAGTAGTGGCTTGTGACGGTGAGTGGCGTGATGTGTTTACTGTACTTAATATTTACGCACACACGCTCAAACTATTACCTGACCACGAAGGAACGGTAATGTTGACCGTCTACAGCTATATGGTTAAACGTGTTGTAGCGCGAGAGGTACTGGGTTCATACCGGGGTAATAATAGATTAATAGAAATCAATTATACAATGATTTTTAATTTATATATCACGTGAAAAATATCAAAGTTTTCAAACGCAATAATAGATAGTTTGAGTCGGGCAGGGCACAGAAGTCTATACTTACATGGTAAATAAAACAGATCAGTAAAACGGACAGAGAAATGTGTGGCAAACATATTTCTGTGTCCGTTTAAGTGATCGGTCACTCATTCACTCTTTTATTCAAGTACATATGTAAATTTAAATAAAACACTTTAACGGTTTAAAACGCGATATATTAGTTAAACTTATTTGAAACTGGTTTTTAACTTCGGCCCGACGTTTCGGGTGCTTTGCAGCAGCCATGGTCTCCCCGTGACCACGGCTAATATAGAGGAAATAACTTTATCGCGTTTTAAACCGTTAAAGTGTTTTATTTAAATGTGTACTATTCGCGTAAACTATAGACAGTATTTACATATGTAAAGCTAAATATTGCTGAGCCAATTTTAATGAACGAGTGATTTTTAATATTGGCTTCTAATCAAAGGGACTAGAGTTTGATTTCTACATCTAATATATTTTAGGAACAACAAACACTTTGGCTCACGAATCACCACAGATAAAAAGCCGTGAAGACTAATCGCGTTTTGATTTCAGTCTTTGGATTTTCAAATGTCTGTTAAAAATAGGACGACCGCGCATCCATTTCGCTGCTATATTTCACCTTCCATTACGTGAAGCATGGGGAGTTGTCTGCCCTTCTCCGTCAATGGAAAGTCTTGGTGTAACAAAACTCTATATTATATAATTACGTACGAGTAAGTAATAATTATAAAACTAATAACCACCGCGTTTAGAAATAATATTAAGTTTTTTCATTTATGTCTGACTCAGCTTAAGGCAAACTTTTATAATCTATACTTTCCTAATATATAAAGCTGAAGAGTTTGTTTGTTTGAACGCGCTAATCTCAGGAACTGAAGGTTCAAATTGAAAAAATATTTTTGTGTTGGTTAGAGCATTTATCGAGGGAGACGTGTGAACAAAACGGGGGAATGTTTTCATCTCTGTGGGTTACAGATTCGTACGCTGCGAAAACGGTTCAAGACACCCAAAAAATATGTATAAATGAATGATTCCTCTTTAAATTATCTAAAAAAAGTCCGACAGATGTCGTGGGTAACAGCTTAAGTTTATAAAGATCTAGGGTTTCAAAACGAATAGCCCAAAATAACGATTCACGCGGACGAAGTCGCCGGCACAGCTAGTTGTTCATAAGATCTAAATATCTGGTCATCCCCAGTCACGTACACTTGAAGTGTAGATTTCGGAATTTGCAATGCCAAAATAGGTCGACAACGCACCTTAATTTGATGTTAGGTATTTGTATTATACAGTTTATAATAGTTTTAGAAGTAAAATGCTGCATCGTAACAACAGTTACTATAGATAGGTGTAACAGTATACATTGCCGGTTTTTTATGTCAGTAGTTTTTTTATCATCGTAACGAAGGAGAAATGTATGTGAAGTGTAATTATATGGTAATACAATGATGCATGTGGCAGCCGTCACGTAGGCAGTCTAGATACAATATCGAGAAAGAATTGAGGAAAACTGACTCACATCGCGTGTTAAGATGTAATTATGTGAAACGATATAGATTTTTAAATTTAAGATTTTTCCTATCGCTTCGCGGAAATTGAACCGGGAACACACTATGACACTATTTGTGAGATACGGGCTACCTGCGATGGCTTGTGGACCTTGTGTTGAAGATAATCTTTAATTTTTGCTTAGACAATTAATGGATTCTGGTTTTCTATAATTGGGGGTCGATCAAGGACCAAACTTCGGACCTTGAGTATATAGCATTAGACAACGGCTTTCGTTGAAAAATAATGTGTAAATTAAACAAAAATAATTTTAGTTTTGTTTACTATGTAGAAATTATTTAAAAAGTAACATTTATATCTAAATTTGAAAAATGTCTATAAATACTGTTTAAGTATTTAACTACATACGTAGCATTATATACAAAAGCTCAAAGTTTTTACGTCATTCAAAAATCACTTTTCACTTTCATATTCGTTTCCATCACCATCGCCAATTATCAACGGATTGGTCTCCATTTCTACAATAACACTACTATTGTACTTTTTCATCTCTTGTTCAAAGAGTATATTGTTTATGGCTTGCTTGATCATCGACCGCGTTCTCTCGTCGTGTTTCCTCAAGGAGACCGCGATGTACTCCCCGAAACTGTCGCATTCATCTTTCCGTTTGGCTGGTGATGAAGCCTTAATTATTTTCACAGCATCCGTCACACTCCTATCTCTTGTTATCTTGGGGCGTTTTATGTGTCTAATGGTTCTCAGCGGTCTTTTTCGGAACATACGGACCTTCTTTGGTGGCGAATGAACTTCTGGTTCGTTTTTAATTTCAATCTCGTCTTGAACGAACTCGGTGGATGTGAACGAACTGTTTTCTTGTTCTGCGTCTTGGTCGTCCTCTTCTTCGTTGTATTCTTCTTTCTGTAAAAAGAAAACCAGTTTACAATTATAAAATTGTATCGCTACTAATCAATTTATAATCTACTAGCGGCCCTGTCCCGGCTTCGCACGGGTAGACATAAATAATACACAACAACACAAATATTTAAATTATAAGCATGCTAATTAAAACGACCATGAATCACTAAATTAGAAAACAATTGTATTGCGCGTCCTCTCTGTTAACGACCGTGGTCTATCTCGCTGGTTCAGGAGTTGTGAATTCCTAGCTCTATTTCCTTCAAGTCGCTGCGACGATCTTGCATTTTGTTCTGCAAGACGAACCTGAACGTTCGATGATAGATTCTCTGGCTCGCGATTGGGACGATCATTTTAGGGAGAAGACTCTCCAATACGACGAACTTTTGCTAATCTCGCTTGGGAACTATTCTTCGATAGCTGCGACCTTCTTCTTCTAGGCATATTGGTATGAACGATATTTTTTTTAATCAGAGAAATTAAGAATAAACTAATAATGAATACACAAGAAAATATTCAAGTTCAAAGCGCTTGAAAGTTCTGAAAAGAACTTTGACAAGCATTATGCAAAGTGTGATTCCTAATACTAAAACTAAGTAGCTTTGAAAAGAAGAGCTTTTTAAGTGAAGCATAAAAATGTTTAATAAAAAATCGAAATATTTATATTCAATGTCGTTCGCGCCCACTGCGTTAGGAGCCCGCTGCCCATCTATCGTCCAATTAGTTACTCGATGCGTGGCGTGGCGTCCGCCGCCGGCATGTATTTTTGTTTTAATTTCATGATATCTTTTGAATGGCATGTCCGATTTCAATAATTTAAAAAGTAATCATTAGGTATTGAGACAGTCTTGGTCTTTTTCGGATATTAATTAAAAAATGGTAGGGAAAACAGGTTTAAATGGAGGATAGTTATACATATTCTCTCGCGGTGTTTTTTGTAGATCTGAGTCTATAATATTGTCGAACATTTTTTTGTCCTATCATTAATACTTTTCGCAGCGTATGCGAACAAAGACATTTTACGGCTAATTTTTTTTACGCCTTCCGTTGGTAAGAATTTTTATAGATGCCTATAGTAATCTAGTACTAAATATAGTATATGTTACTCGGTGATAATGTAGCTTTCTAATGAAAAAAGAATTATTCAAATCGGTCCAGTACTTTTTGAGTTTATCCGTTACATACAAAAATACATAAATACTTTATAATATTAGTATAGATGTGGCTCTTTTTGTGACGAGCTCGTTGGTGTATAGCAACATATGGCTAATATTTAACTGCCTTCGTCTGGAAATCTGGATATAAAATGGGTGGTAGGAATATCGAAATTCCGTTCGTGAACCACCAGAATATCCGACGCCAAGTAGGTCGACCACTCATCTTGTTTTGATTTTATATGGCTGGGATATTTCAGCTGTCTGTCTATCTTTATCATTTAAACAATGTATAAATATTCAGTATTATAATAGCTAAATAAATAGGTATATGTATAATATAACTCAATTCATTTTATTGAGTCCAATCGTTATCAGAACTGAACAATAGAATAAATTGTTTTGTTATTTAGAGCTCGGAACTTCGGCAAAATTGTGTGTCACGGACATCCAAGTCGGTAATCCGTTTGTCCTCTTTAGATAGATAAAATAATCTTTACTTAAAATGCCTGTTTATACCGATGTATAGTTATTGAATATAACACCTATTTAAATAAAACATTTTAACGGTTTAAAACGCGATATATATCAGCCCGATGTTTCGGATGCTTTTGACATCAGAGACACCCTCCATATTTAGTCTCCCCGGGACCATGCCTGCTGCAAAGTATCTAAAACGTCGAGCCGTAGTTAAAATTAATTTCAAATAAGTTTAACTTACATATATCGCGTTTTAAGTCATTAAAGTATTTTATTAAAATGTGTACTACTGGTGTAAACTACGGACAGTGTTAATAGTTAATACCTACAGTATGCGCATTTGTTGTAGGAGGTTTCAGGTTAAAATAACGCAATGACATTGTGTTCTTATTTCCCTAAAGATAAAGTGAAAAAAATGTACTTATCGTTTCAATCTGTGAAGAAAATAAAAAAACATCCATGCCGCGGGATTCGAACCCACTACAGACTTGCTAATAAAAGTCCACCGCACCGCTTACACCCAATCTTATACACTAAACCCGAACAATGTAATTTCTACCTTAATTCGTAGGTCTTTTGCGTCAATGTTGCATGACAAAAAATAATATTTTGAAATCGATTACTAATCCATATAACGCCATCATGTGCAATAACATGTGAAAAATAATAGTTTTCAATCGTTATAACTGTGTAATTACATCTTTTTAATTAATTAAGGTGAAAATTACACTGCACCTTAATATAAGTAGGTTAAAATTGACGATGCCGTGTAGTACAGTTAGCTCAATTGGTTGGAGATCGACGATGCTGTGGAGTACACGGTTAGTCTGCACGCGTCGTTAATTTTTTTTAATTTATGGTCAGATTGTTTTGTAATAAATAAATAATGAATAATGCAAATAATATCCAAAATCATAGGCCAACAGCCCATTTTGTTTAGATTTTATATGGCTGGGGTATTTTACCTCCCATCAAGTGAACTATGTATGTCTGTCCTCCTCTATATTAAAAAAAAACATTTAACGAAACATATAAATCTTTGTAATTTTCACAAGATATCTAGATAGATAATAAAATTATAATTACATGTTCTTCATCACCATCGCGGTGTTTGGACGTGGGCGTTGTGTCCAGATTCTCGATATGGCTCGGGAGGAAGGTCAAATGGTTATACAAGAACCAGTGGGACTTCTTCCCCGTCCGGACTTTCCCCTTCTCCCGGCGGTGCGACGCGAAAATCGAGTTGAATTTCTTCCTCATATCGCTCACGTCGTATCCGAACAGCTTGGCTAACTCAGTCCAGGCTTCATACTTGGCTATTTGGACTCTGTACAAGTCGTGGTTCGGGTCCCATAGTAGGGGTCTCGCTTTGAACTCGTTAACCAAGCGAATAACTTGCGCGTTCGTCATTACTACATCTTGGCTTTGGAACGGCATTATTCAATACAGTGACAGTTATTAGCGAATATGCGCGGCGTGACGATCGCCGTACGTTCGTTCGGGCGCGCGACGAACGGAGACTGGCGAGCGGCGCCGAGTGCGGTCGGGTCCGTTCGGGTCGGTTCGGCTCAGCTCGATCGGGCTCGGCGCTCGTTCGATACGGAACGCAATACGGACGCTCGCGTACGGAAGTGGAAAAGATTATCCTATTTTAAAATAAATCTATCTGTAGTTTACGCAAGTAGTACACATTTAAGCAAAACACTTTAACGGGCTAAAACGCGATATATATAAGTTGAACGTATTCCCCCGTCTACCCGTGATCATAATTGCTGCAAAGCATCCAAAACGTCGGGCCGTAGTTACATCGCGTTATAAACTGTTAAAATATTTTTATTTTACGTATTTAATGTTACGTTTTAACGTACAAATACATATATAAATACCACTTATTTAAATTTCAGTATAATTTAATAACTTACACGAACAAAAACTAAGTTCGTTTGTAATATTTACATAATAAACTAAATAGAATGAAAAGCTTTAACACTTACACATTAAAATAAAAAACCTACCAGCGTTATACAATATATTGCGTTTTAAACCGTCATACGCGTTTAATTTAAAAGCGTCGAAAGTGTTTATGGACCAAATTAATTGTACCTCGTAAACCACTTGACAATGTTTAAAGACATTTATGGAAGCAATTTGATCAAGACTGACCTTTTTGAATGGATTCCATTGTCGACCCGGGATAAGGGTCCCGGCTCCCGTTTGTGACGAAATTAAATTCTATCCCCTAGCAGGACTTGTCTAATTTATGTTGAGGACGCATTCACCTCAAATAAGATACGGACGATACAATAAAACTCGAGGTACCATTATTCAAACATACCGAATTAATTGCGTTACTTACAAATGCTACAGTACTAGAGGTTCTAAATTCGAATCCCGGGGAAGCGAAAAATCGGATGGGCGGAGCACGAGTCACCTCTATAAAATCTTTCGGTCGGAGTGTAGTATTAAGAAAACATTTTGACGGTTCGTACGCGAAATATATTCGTTTTTGTCTATTTGAATTAAAAATCGATTTTAGTTTGAGCACTCCACAGCGTTCCGTGCTGTAGCTCTGGTACGACCCGACGTTTATCAGAAGGTCCTTTGGGAGAAGAAATAAAAAAAATGATTTTTACGATTTAAACCAAACGGTAAACGAATCGACCCGTGGTTCGGTGTGTCTCTCTGTCAATAAAATTAATAATAAAATAAATTTAAGGTTTCATGCACCCACGTTGTACGTTAAAAATTTCACATATTGATGTGAAATCTATCCTATAATTTAAAGAGTTTGTTTGTATTGCTCTAACTCAAGAATGGGGTTGAAAAATTATTTTGGGGAGAGATGGGAAGGCTATAAGCTATAAAACATCACCCTGTGCCTAATACAAGCGAAAATACAGCGGAATGTGAAAAACATTGGAAAATTATTCATCATTATGGATTACCAAGGGTGGGCACCCAATTAAAAATGATTCCTCTTTAAATGATCTAAAAAAACATCCGCGAAGATAATTATGTCTATCTTTTTAAGATTAACTTGCAAAAACGACGTGACGCGGACGACGTCGTGGGTAACAGCTCGAATTTATAGAGTTGAACAGGAGGTTTGCAAAAACACAAATTGCGCGTACGAGGTCGCGTGACTCAGCTAGTTTTTAATTGCAATACTATCGTAAAATGCAAATCTTTAGCGTTTAGCAACAGGCGTTTTTAGCTTTCGCGTATTCTAGCAATATTGTGTCTAAGTTACGACATTTCAAGTACAATGAGACGGATATCCGCCCGACTTATGACTTCCACCCGTTTCAGTTACTCGAGCATGTTAAAATGTGGAATTATCTACAGTTCTAGCGTCTGTCGACTATGTACAATTAGGTATAGTGTATAATAACGTTGAAACAGAAAACTCTAACACATGCAAATCATAAGAACATTGAAAATTTTAAATAAAACGCTTTACGGTTTAAAACGCGATATGTTTTAATTTAACATGTTTGAAAATTTTAACCGGGTCTTTGCAGAATTGACTCACGGTGTCAATCATCAAAGACCCGGCCAGTTTCGCCAGATAACAACTTCGACGGAACAGATGGCGCTAGCGTAGCAATTTTTACTTTGACGTCAGAGACATCCTCGATCTTTAGTCTCCCCGTGACCACGGCTGCTGCAAAGCATCCGAAACGTCGGGCCGTGGTTAAATATAATTGTCAAACAAGTTTAACTAATATATATCGCGTTTTAAACCGTTAAAGTGTTTTATTTAAAAGTGTACTGGTCGCGTAAACTACAGACAGTATTTACATTGAACCTTAAAACGTAAGTGTTAAGGTTGAAATTACATTGCGCGAGAGGTGCACGTAACTCGGTAGCTCAATTAGAGCAATAGCACGGAACGCTAAGCCGGTTCAAGTCCTGCCTGAGTCGTAGTTTTTTTCAATTATTATTATAAGCAAATACATAACAAAAATAAATAAAACCCTATTCCCAGGGTATATACAAAATTTCATCAGAATCGATATAGCCGTTTCATATGTTAGATTAAACACATAGCTATATTTTACTAATTGCGACCTAAACTTACAAAATACCCAAAGTTATAATCAGAATAATTTATCGTTATGTTAACTTAAAAGGGATCCGAATTTCGCTAAGTGAGGTAGGAAGTCGGTTTAATTATGTTTGAATAAAGCAATTAATTTGTTTTATTTTAACTAAAAGGTGCCTCGATACATTCAACCGTCAGCCCTAGTTATCACCATCAATTTGATGGCTAAAAGCACACTAATCCATTCTGGACCAGCGTGGTGGCTCTAAGTTCTCAAAGACCTACGAGAGGAGATTTGTGCCCATCAGTGCCCATTAGTGCCCACCAGTATGTTTGAAACGAACTGAAATCTTGAGATAAATATCGACAGTCTCGTCACAACCCTAAATACATCAATTTCATCCCTTCATCAAACCTGGTCGGCACCAGGCAACGCCTTATCGCAGATTATTACCGAATAGGGGGGGTTGAGCTGCTTTAACAAAGGAAAGCATTTGTGTCGCTGAATTTACGACACACTTTTACGACTGCAAAATAGCTAGGTACCATTAGGCACTGTTTACATTCGGACAGTGACTGGGGACAGTAGTAGTAGTACGTCACGAGTCGCAAGTGAAGTTTATTTGTTTATTGTTCGCGTTTCAATCAGTTTTAAAGTGTTTTATTTAAGAGGACGTTTTAAAAAAATAAGGTGACAAGCGAAGATATTAATGTGGGTGTGTCAAATCTCTATCTAAAGTAAAATCACTTGACTGTACGTTTAGTGAAATTATTAAAAGTATAAAAATGAAATGAATCAACGAAATTATTAAAAAAAGTTTTTCAAAAAGTAATGTGGGCGAAATCAAAAGAATTGCATATATATGAAAAATACTTTGTGTTTTGGCCTAACATTCCTGCTAAACCACCAACGTACGGCATGAAATACAAAAGCGATTGTCATTTATTTAATTAAAATCCAGGTTTATGATTATCGTCTAAAGACAGCGAATGGCGTGAGCGACTAGAACGCGGTAAAGACACCAAGTGGGACCCTTTACAATAAAGTACATGCAGAATCCGCAGATAAATTTCACATAATTTCATTGTTTAGAATATTTTTACTAGCGCCATGTGTCGCTGGATGCTTTTATAGCATCCGGGAGTAACGGCTAACGCGGCGTTATGTCGTTATGCTGATATGGAAATTGTGTGTAAGGAAACACATAATAAAGTTAATAAAAATTTATAATCCGGGCTTTTATGGCCACGGTGGTTATGTGAAGATCTTTCGAAATATAACACGATGTAACAAACATCGTGAAATCCAGTAATCTCTACGTGAAAATACCTTATTATTCAAATTCTTCTATATTTCTATTGGACACATTTGTGTGTCCGTTTGTGACGATCTACGATTTGGTAAGTAACGATAATAGCAGTCCACAGCGCTCCTATAACCTATTGATGCATGTAGCACCTCATATCCCTACCAATATCCCACGGCTGGGAAAGTGCCTCGTCTCATAGGGCTTGGGAGCGTAAACCCACCATGCCGGTCCAAAACGGCAATACCTAGAGTCCGGATGTCGTTCTTGTATTCACTTGATTTGAGGAAGACGACCTTTTCCCATAACGTTTTTGTTCCGCTTCCTCAAAAGTTGACATATGGCGAATACAACGTAGAATATGGCTTGCTATTTCGTTCACATGTGTGTATAAGGGTACGGTCTGCTATAAACGCAATAGGAAACAAGATTCTATATAGTGGGTAAATCTATACTTGGGTATTTGGGTACAAAAATCTTTTTGAATAGCCGGGGCCGCCAACAAAGAGTGCTCCGAGTGGCGATCGTCTTCGGCTTGGTCTACCGAAGTGTGTAGGGGACTTGAGGATCTAGACGAATTCTCACCTCTTTTGGAGCGATAAATAAGTGAAATCTCACCTCACCTTTCCTTACGTTTAAGAAGGAAAGAAGAAGAAGGTTACTTTAACTTAGACCGTCTGTGACCACGTTTGTTGCAGTGTGGCGAGCCGGGCCGTCGTAAAAATAAATTGTAAAGTAATAGGTGAGTCAATCATATTTAGCGTAATTTTTGAAGTTTTTATGTACCAGGTGGCCCTGCGAGTTACGGATTAGCGCGTACAAACAAACAAACTCTTCAGCTTTATAATATTAGTATATATGAAAGTAAGACGGAATGTCGTAACAGGCCGGCTAACAAAATGGATTTGGATTTATCGCGGGCAATAAAAGTTATCGCGTTACGCAACGCTGCGCGCCGCTTATCTGCCACCGCACTGTACTTGACCAAAACGAGCGATAAAACTGAATCTTTGAATTGAGGCTGCTAGAGCCAGAGTAGCCTAACTGCAATTTTATGACTTGACTTACTTATACTAATAAAGTCTAAAAATGTTAGTCGACAAGAGACAATTCAGATTCGAATATGTAAAATTAACAAGAACATAGGCAATAGCAGTACACAGGTGAATCAAACACTTTAACGGTGTAAAACGTGAAATATATTAGTAAAACTTACTTCAACCATAGTTTGAACAATTTGTAAGTAGGTTTAACTAATACATTTTGCCTTTTAAACCGCTAAAGTGTTTTGCTTAAAAAGCACATAGGTATTAATTGAGGCTGCTGGAGCCAGAGTAACCTAACTGAAATTTCATGTATTAACTTATTTATATTTTTATTGTCCAAAAATTGTTAGTCTACTAGAGCACAGTGACCGAAAATTGTTAACATGATTCTAACACAAATATTAGTAGGAATTCATTTTCGCCTTATGATAATTGTGCTATTTTTATTTGGCCCTCCTTATCTGGCAAGTCAATTGTGTCTTACGTGTTATGAGGCCTTGACTGACGTGCAATGGCTAAACACTCGTAAGTTCGATTTTCATCGGTTGCAACATTATTCTAAATCAACTTCTCGCAATACCATATGAAGAAACAGAGGACGCTAGCGTGCCTGATATTCACCCTCCATCTTCAGCCCCCCGTGAACACGGATGATTCAAAGCATCAGAAACCGGCCGTAGTTAAAATAAACAACACTTTATTGGTTTGAAACGCGAAATATATTCGTTAAACTTATTTACAAATTAAATACTGTCTATAGTTTACGAGCAGTACACATTTAAATAAAACACTTTAACGGTTTAAAACGCGATTCGAAATCGATTTCGATTCGATTAGCCGTGACCACGGCTGCTGCAAAGCATTCGAAACGTCGGGCCGAAGTTAAAAATCATTTTCAAATAAGTTTAACTAATATATCGCGTTTTAAACCGTTAAAGTGTTTTATTTAAACTTATTTACAAATTATTTGAACTACGGCCCGATGATTCGTATGAGACTAGAGCATGGATGCTGTCTAGGTACCCGTCTAGATATCTGTAGAGAAATATCCTAGCCTATAGCATCTAAACTGTCCACTAGGCGCATGTCGATCTATTACATTAACATAATTAAACTTCATAGCTTTTACATCTGTGAACGGTGGTTCGTGACCCGGACGGAATGTTAATATTGCTACCACCCATTTATATATATATATATTTGAACTTACTATGAAACG